TACGTATATATATCATCTAACTGCAATTTCACCAGTGGACAACCTATTCATTATATTCGTCATGCAATTTAATAAAAACCCATGTTTAATGTCCAGTATGCTAATTTGCAAAGCATTTGTTTTTTGATTGAGATAGGATAGTAGAAGAATGTATAGTAGTTTTCTCTTGAAGAATGAATGTCTAGATTAGAATTCACCTGACCACTCCCAAACTTTGCACACTTAAATATACTATAGTTTCTGAGCTAGAACTTGATCCAGTGGGCCTCATTCTTGATCTTTAATGGAGTCACTAGAAGAACTTTTTTTTTTTTTTTTTTTTTTTTGAGACGGAGTCTCGCTCTGTCGCCCAGGCTGGAGTGCAGTGGCCGGATCTCAGCTCACTGCAAGCTCCGCCTCCCGGGTTTACGCCATTCTCCTGCCTCAGCCTCCCGAGTAGCTGGGACTACAGGTGCCCGCCACCTCGCCCGGCTAGTTTTTTGTATTTTTTTAAGTAGAGACGAGGTTTCACCGTGTTAACCAGGATGGTCTCGATCTTCTGACCTCGTGATCTGCCCGTCTCGGCCTCCCAAAGTGCTGGGATTACAGGCTTGAGCCACCGCGCCCGGCCTAGAAGAACTTTTAAAACCGTCGATGCACCTGCAAACCAAGTACACTGAAATCTCTGAAGGTGGAACCCAGGCATTGGTATATATTTTTTAAGCTTCCCAGATGACTTCAGCATACAGCCCAGGTCAAGAACCACCAGCTTAGTCCTATAACATAGTAACACCATATAGTCTGTGCTGAGGTGGTCTAAAGAAAATTATGGTTATCTTAGTACATGGCAGTCCATTAGAATTACCAGGGGAACATTAAGAAAAGATGCTTAGACCAATCCCAGACCAATTAAATCAGAATCTATGCCTGAGCACTTGTATCTTAAACATTTCCAAGTGATTCTGATACACAACCAGGATGAAGGACCATTGTGACAGGTGATGCATGGATGGTTGCAGGTGGCTGGGATATAAGAGTGTAGGAAGGAGAAGCTCCCATGGCGCTTCCACCTGTGTGGCGTGAGGTGCTTCTTCCCCTTGAGGGTTGGCAGGGGCTGGTTCAGCTCACTGGAGATTCTCAGGCCCCGGCCACCAGGGGTACCTGGCAATCTCCTAATGCTGACTCCCTTTCTTTCCCTGAACCTCCCAATCCCAGTTCACATCTCCTCATCTCAGACCTCCTTTAAAGTCATGAACCTAAGTCTGCTCCTTTCACCCACATCTCAGCCTGCAGAAGTCCTCAGTGGGTCTCCTTGTGGGATGATGTGATGGTTAATTTCATGTGTCAACTTGACTGGGCTAAGGGATGGCCAGATAGCTGGGAAAAGGTTATTTTTGAGTGTGTCTGTGAGGGTTTTTCCAGAGGAGATTAGCATTTGAATACATAGACCAAAGAAAGAAGATCGTCTTCATTAATGTGGGTGGGAATCATCTAGTTCCTTGAAGGCAAAATATAACAAAAAAGCAGAGTAAGGGCAATTTCTCCCTCTCTCTTCTTGAGCTAGGACATCTGTCTTCTCCTGCCCTCAACATTGGAGTGCCTGGTTCTCAGACCTTTGAACTCCCAGCCACATGTAACAACAAAAATAATAAATAAACAAAAGGCCCCAATACGGTAAAACAACAAAAATACACAAAGACCATTGCTTTCTCTTCTAAAACCAGTAAAGTGTGGAACCTCTGTTCTTGGGGTTGTCCAACCTGGAAGGATAATTTTGAGGCAAAAATTCCACAAGATTCTGAACATCAGCTGGAAACTCTTCCAGCATCCATGGCATTTTGGCTGGTCTGGGCATGGGCATTGTAGGACATTTAGCCTCTACCCAGGCACTGAATTCTGCTATCCATCCTTCTCCCACCCCTCTAGTCATTGTGGTAACCCCCAAATTACAACTCCCCCATTTCCAAACCTTTCTAATCCTCTGATAAATGTAGGGGTGATGGGATCAAACACAGTTCCACACCTTAAGTGTTACTCCAAAATTGTTTGGCTGCTGGTTTTTGATACCAGAATTTTCAAAATCTTCTGTTGATGCAAGGCAGAATGTTTTTCTGAATAGCTCATATTTCACCAATGAAACATTATTTCTAATATCCCTTATGCTAATTAACAAGCTCAATATGCAGCTTCACATAATGGTATTTAAAGCAAGCACTTGTCTGAGTGCCTGTGGCAGGCGCTGGAGTTGGAGTAGGGGCTCCTGATTAGGGTCTTTCAAATGCTAACCAGCCACCTCTAGAATGTGGATTCCTGATTAGGCTACTTCACATATTAATCAACTCTTTCTAGGGTATATATTACTTTTAATTTACACCTCCTATATCTCACTATCTATGCTAAAGTATGTTCATGTAAATTACAGATAAGGTACGGTACCTCTGAAGAGATACCTCTTACACGGTGGGTATGGAAATGGAAATTAGCACCCATTTTGAGAGTGATCCAGCAGTGTGTGTAACAAAGCCCTAGAAAGTGCATTGTCTTTGACCTAGAAATCCAGTGGCTAGCTGTCCTGGTTTGCCAAAACTGGGGGAGTTTTCCAAGACATGGGACTTTCAGTGCAAAAACCAGGAGAGTTCATGCAAACTGAGATAATCGGTCACTCTACCAGTGACTCTGTCTCTAAAAATCTATCCTAAGTTAGGGCTGGGAAAGGTTACTTAGAGGTGATACTTATGAAAGTGCAAATTTGAATGCAATTTATAGAATTAGCAATGAGGATGTTTTCACACTGCTATAAAGAAATACCTGAGATGGGGTAATTTGTAAAGAAAAGAGGTTTAATTGGCTTGCAGCTCTGCAGGCCGTACAGGAAGCATGATGCTGACATTTACTTGGCATCTAGGGAGGCCTTAGGAAGCTTACAATCATGGCAGAAGACGAAGAAGGAGCCAGCACTTCACACGGCTGGGACAGGAGGAAGAGAAAGCAGAGCAAAGTGCAACATACTTTTAAACAACCAGATCTCACAAGAACTCATTATCATGAGGACAGCACCAAGGAGATGGTGCTAAACGATTAATGAGAAACCACCCCCATGGTCCAATTACCTTCCACCAGGCCCCACCTCCAACATTGGGGATTACAATTCAATATGAGATTTGGGTAGGGACACAGATGCAAGCCCTATCAAGGGAATTTGTTGAATAAATTTTGGTGTATCCAGCCAATGGAGTATTATAGTCCTGAAAAACTATTAGTCTGTTTAGGCTCACATAATAAAGTACCATAGACTGGGTGGCTTAAACAACAGAGATTTATCTTCTCTTAGTTCTGGAGGCTGGAAGTCCCGGATCAAGGTGTGGCAAGGTTGACATTTAGTGAGAGCTCTATTCCTGGGTGGCAGATGGCTATCTTCTTGCTATACCCTCATATGGCAGAAAAAGTGAACGAGCTGTCTGGTGTCTCTTCTTATAAAGACATGAATTCTTTGGAATCAGAGCCCTACCCTTATGAACTCATTTAATCTTAATTACTTCCTTTTTCCAAATACAGTCACATTGTGGGTTAGAGATTCAACATATGAAATTTGTGGGGGCTGTGATTCAGTTCATAGCATCCTCAAAGACAATTTATAAAAAGGAAAGATGTTCACAATGTATTGTTAATGGAAGCCACAAAACAGTGTGTATGATTCATATTTTGTCTAAAAAAGCAAATAATATGTGTTCATAGGAAGACTGAAACGCTACACAAAATGTTAATAAAGGAAATTAAGGTAATTTTAAGTTTCTTTACACTTTCTGTAGCTTTCTGTATTCTTTTTTGCATTCCAAAATTTACAAAACCTTAACATACAGTAATTTTTAGACAGGAAAATTGCATTTTAAAAATATAGTGTCTGGTTAGATATCTATAAGGAGAAAAATGGGTTCTAGATTTCTGGTAAGTGAGAAAGAACAAATGAAGAGAGAGTCTATAGAATTTGTGTAAACCTGAGTTGAATATTCGCTTTATAATTTGGCAAATTGAGCCTTACTGTTTATGAGGTTAGTGGTTAAACATGTAGTATCTAGAAATGACAGTCATGGTTTGAATCCCAACCCTGCTGCTTGCTGGCTGGCTGTCCTTGGGCAAGTTTCTCTGTCTCAGTTGTCTGCAAGATAGGAAGAACAGGAATGCCTATTCTACTGGTTTGTTGTAAGGTTAGGGCGAGTTATTGTGGAAAAGACCTTAGAACAGTGACTAGCATGTAAAAAGATACTCAATAAATTAGCAGTTGTTGATATTGTTATTATTATCTTTCTTCTAAGACTGCTTGGCTTTTTGCATTATGGCTTTGAACAACATGCCCCGTGATCTCTGGGAGCAGCTTCTTAATTATTTTTAGGGTTGCTAACTTTAGCAGATGAAAATACAAGACACCCAACTAAATCAGTATGTCCCAAATGCTGCTGAAGGCATACTTATACTAACACATTATTCATTATTTATCTGAAATTCAAATTTAATGGGGTGTCCTGTATTTTAGCTGGCAATCTCCATTATTATAGATATGACAACATTGAAAAGGAACCCAACAATGAAACTTTCTTAATCAGCTCCATCTAAATCAAGCCTGCTCCTGCTGTACTTCTGGTGTGGGTGTTACCTTTATAGTAAGAAATATGTTAAATAAACTCTAGGTAGATCCTAGCTTGGCACCTGGCATGTGATGTTTGTACAAAAATCAGGCAAGAGAGCCTGTCCTTTACTAGCCATGTGACTTTGGGAAAAATTGCATGTTCTCTTTAAACGTCAATGTCATTGTTTGCAAAATGGGACTAATAATAAGACCAGGTTTGTTGTGAGAATTCAATAAAATGAGCTAATACATTTAGTAGGGCATAATGTAAAATGTTTGGCATATGGATTAGGTATTCAGCTAATAATGGCTATCATCACTACTAATTCAAAAACAAACAATACATGAATAAAATAGAAGTTAGAGTCTTTACCTTTTTGTCTTTTTCACAGAGTTTGTAAGGCACAAAATGAGTAGGCCACTACGCCTTCCCTCAAGAGGTTCACAGTGGCATGTACCAGACTGCAAAAAGACATTGTTCTATTAGATTCTTTCTACTGATGTCGGAGAATCCAGTCTGCAAGACAGAAGACCTTAGAAATGTTCAGCAAAGCATATGGAGAATCCTTGAGCCAAAGCCACCCATCCAAGGAGCTCATGTCTCTCTGCCATGCATAGTCACTGGCTGGAATCAGTCCGTGAGAAGCATGGCCGTGGTGGGGTAAATGTGAGCATGGATTTCAGATTGCCGTAGCGGGACTGTTGTCAACCCCAGTCCTTGCAGTGCAGAAGTGAGACGTGCATTCTCATGGCTGCCACAGCCCTATATCCTCGTGACTTTTCTTACCTGGAGAAATGGTAAAAAACAGGGAAATGGCCTCCACTTCCCACATTCAGAGCTGGCATGAGTGCATTTAATTTGCATGGCAAACTCTAGCTAAAAGCGAGCCAAGAAACTGTAATTCCCTTTTCCAGCTCCCACTAACACCCACCCTCCCGCCCGTGCCCCCCAACACACACATGATGGGAAGGCGCACAAGAAGTGCAAATGAATACTGGGTGAGTTGGGTGCTGCTTGATCTCAAAGTATCATGAAGGGGAAACTGTTGTGGCTGTCTGGTGAGCTGGGGCCAATAATTGATCTCTGAGAGAACCAACATCACCCCCAGGATCAAAAGTGAGTTATCTAACCCCTGTTCTCTGGGACTCAGCCTTATCCTTTTTGCCTCTAGGCTTTGTGTTTGAGACCCAGCCTTGAATCTTCTCTTTCTCTGGCTTTCACCCTCTTTCTCCCTAGGGGCCAGTCTCCTTCTTGACCTCATTCTAGGGTTTGTGACTTGGCTATTGGTTGTCAGACTTCTGAGGGCTGCCAGCCTGAGTTACTAAGCATTGCTTCTCCTGGATCCGTGTGTTTGTGCCCTACTGGCAAACAATTTTCCTCTGCTCTTTGAAGTCTGCTGTTTCCTATCAGACTGCACTTTTTCTTATCACCTGGAGCTTGTCTGCTCTGGCCTCCCCTGACATCCTTTGTGAGCCCAATTCAATTTGTCACCCCCATGGTTTTCCCAGTCTTGCTGTGGTTAAGAGCTACAAAAGGGGGTGGGGGAAAGTCTTCATAGACCAAACCCAGGCTGTGGGAATTTCAAGCCATGAAGCATGAGCCCAGCTGGAGCCAGAGTACTCCCGGGTACTGGGAGCAGTAATAGCGTCTCAGCTCCAGGTTCACACTGTCAGCCAATCACTTTGCATATTAAACTGCTACTGAACTCTTAAGGACCAGCAGACACACCATTTGTTAAAATCACAATGCATCCCTTCTGCTGCCAAAGATGGAACTGTAATTTTCCCCTGCTCTCAAAATAAATACTTTGATGGTTCTGAAAAATTTTAGCAATTAGCTTGTACCATCACCTCTAATTAGCCACTGGCAAACACAATTGAGATAATAAAGCTTACCGAGGGAGAAGCATGAATAAGCACCAGATTCTAAATCTACTGGGGAAGTGACCCTGATGAATCATTTAATAGTCACTGTAATGTAATTTTGCAGGTTTGTTGTACACACACCACAGAGAACATATTAAGTGGGTCTGAGCCATAAGAGAGTCTTAATGACTAATTTGCCATATGCTCCCGAAAAATCTCATTTTTTTTTGAGAAACAATACACATCTACTCTTTTTCTTATTAATAAAACCACCAAGAAAATAAAACCACTTTTCTTTCCATGCTAATAATGACTCCCTCTAACTTGCGTAGATATCCAGGGATTGGTCTTTTTAAAAAAATTGTATCTAAATTCCCACAGAAGCTAGTAGAACACAGCAATTTACTCTCCTATGATGTGTTTGACTTCAATTGTTGGCAATTGCTTTTTAATAATTTTTATTGGCTGTTCCACAGTGACATCGTGGGGAAGATAATTATTATTCTTTTTTATTTACAGAAAAACACTACTTTGGGGTTAAATGGCACGCCTGAGATCCTAGCACGAGGGAATCTAGATGACAACCCAGGCTGCAGATTCCCAGTGTGTCTCACATGGAAAAACCAAAACTAAAACCTACCACTCTGAATGGCAAAAAGCGACCACGAGTAGAGAGTCCTGTATCAGAGCAAGACCTTCACCTCTGTGAAACTCAGCTTCCGGGTTTGTAAAACGGGCTTGACATGGGATACTGTTGCAAGAATTCAACAAAACTGTGGATATAGAAGGGCTTTTGGGGTTGCACATACCTAAGGGATTTTAGTGTCAGTGGAGGGCATGGCTAGCTTTTCCTTGTCCTCTTCTTCTACAAGATGGGTGTCTGGCCTCTCTCTGGCAGTTGTCTTGGGGGATTGGGTCTTCCTCCAAGTGGGTCATTGCCTGTGGGTGTCTGTTGCTGGAGACATAGCTGGTCCCAATGAGGATCCAGCTGCCCTTCTTCATGTGGCTCAGAAAACACAGTACAGCAAAGGCATATTAGCTCCCACTGAAAGTTCAAGCAGGTCTTTACTACAGGGGCTCTGATAGTTCTTCAAAATTTTACAGAGCAGGGGGCAGAGCTAGGTGGGTTTGGGGAACAGGTCTCAGCCTAGGTTATAGTGCTCCTTCCTATCACTAAAGAGTCAAGGCCTTACTGCTTGTGGCGGGGGTGGTGAACATGGGGGTGTGCTCACATAAGGCTGTCCAAGTCTGGTGGACCTCTACATCCACTCCTTCCCTCCCTCCGCATCTAGAAACTCACTTTAACTCACTACCTGCTGTTCCCCTTGTTTCCTTCCTTGTGTCACCCCTGCTTTTTATCAGTCCCTTCTCCATTTCTTTTACTGTCTGGCAAATTTTGCATGGTCCTAACAATTTTAGCAAGTACTTTATACCATCACCTCTAATTGGCCACCAGCAAACACAGTTGAGGTCATGAATGTCGATGGTGAGAGTCTCTCCTGGCCTATACTTTGTCTTTATTCAAATCAGAAAAAGGAACCCCCTTTGAGTGGGCACACTGCATGGGAAGTGAGCAGCATCTTTGTGGGAAGAAAAAAATTGCTTATTTTTTCCCAGTGGATGCAGTGCTGACCAGGCATATGGTTTGACCTGCAGAGAGAAAGCTGGATCTTAGTATCCCTTCCTAATTACCCCTTAGCCAAGGGATTGAGCAGTACACAAATAAGACAACCATATGTAGAGAAAAGCTATCAATGACTTTTCTGCTCATGTACAGCTGGGACTAAGGGAAGGTGGACGCTTTGTCAGGGTAGCGGTCTCTCTTTGCTCCTTGCAACACAAAAGAAAAGAAAATATACTCAGATTATTTTAATGGATGTGTAGTGAATTAAATTGTAGCTCCCAAAAGATCTAAGTTCTAACCCTCAGAAGCTGTGAATGTGGCCTTATTTGGGAAAAGGACCTTTGTAGATGTGATTAACTAAAGGATCTTGAGATGAGATCATCTTGGGTGATCTCAGTGTGTCCTATATCCAGTGATAAATATTTATTTTCAATTGCCAGGCAATAATTATATATATTTATAGGGTATACATATTTTATGGGATACAGAGTGATTTATTGATATACATATATAATGTATAATTATCAAATTATGAAAATTAGCATATTCTTCACCTTAAACATTTATCATTTCTATGTGTTGGGAACATTCAAAATCTTCTTCTCTATTTGAAAATATACATTATAAACTGTAGTCACCCTACAGTGCTATACAACACTAGAACTTATTCCTCCCTTCTAGCTGTAATTTTGTATCCATTAACCAACCTCTCACTAGACCCCCTCCCAATTTTCCCTCCCCACTACCCTTCCCAGCCTCTAATAACTATGATCTATTCTTTACTTCTATGAGCTCAACCCTTCTTAGTTCCCACATATAAGTGATATCATGCTATAATTGTCTTTCTACACCTGGCTCACTTAACACAATAACCTCTGGTTCCATCCAGGTTGCTGCAAATGACATGAATTCATCTTTTTAATGGCCAAATAGTATTCCATTGTGTATGTGAATGTGTATATATATACATATATATATGTATATACATCACATTTTCTTTATCCATTCATTTGTTGATAGTCACTTAGATTGATTCCATATTGTGGCTATTGTGAAGAGTACTGCAATAAACATGGGAGTGCAGGTTTCTTTTCCTTTAGGTAAATATCCAACAGTGGGGTTACTGGATCGTATGAAAGTTCTTAGTTTTTTGAGGAAGCTCCATACTGTTTTCCAAAATGGCTGTTCTAATTTACATTCCAACCAGCCGTGTGTAAGAATTCCCTTTTCTCTATATCCTCAGCAGCATTTTTTTTAACTCTTTTTTTGAGATGGGATCTCACTGTGTTGCCCAGGCTGGTCTCGAATTCCTGGACTCATGTAATCCTCCTGCCTCAGCCTCCCAAGTGGCTGAGACTCTAGGTATAAGCCACCACACTCATCTTATTTTTAATCTTTTTAATAATAATTCTAACTAGGGTGAGATGATATCTCACTTTAGTTTTGATTTACATTTCCCCGATGATTACTGATGTTGAACATTTTTTCATATACTTGGCCATTTTTGTGTCTTCTTTTGAGAAATGTCTATTCAGATCCTTTCCTCATTTTAAAATTGTATTATTTGTTTTGTTGTCATTGAGACGTTTAAGTTCCTTGTATATTCTTGGATACTAATCCCTTGTTGGATAGATACTGCAAATATTATTTCCCATTCTACAGCTTGTCTCCTCACTGTTAATTGTTTCCTTTGCTATGCAAAAGCTTTTTAGTTTGGTATAATCACATTGGTCTATTTTTACTTTCATTTCCTGTGCTTTTGGAGTCTTACTCATAAAATCTTTGCCCAGAACAATGTACTAAAGCATATCCTTTGTTTTCTTTGAGTAGTTTTATAGTTTTTGGTCTTACATTTCTGTCTGTAACCCATTTTGAGTTAATTTTTATATGTGATAAGAAATAGTCTAATTTCATTCTTTTGCATATGGATAGTTTTCCTAGCACCATTTATTAAAGAGGCTGTCCTTTCCCCAATGTATGTTCTTAGCACCTTGGTTGAAAAGCAGTTGGTTATAAATACATGGGTTGACTTCTGGGGTCTCTATTTTGTTCCATTGGTCTATGTGTCTGTTTTTATGCCAGGGCCATGTTGTTTTTGTAGTATAGCTTTGCAGTATTTATTGAAGTCACATGGTATGATGCCTCCAGCTTTGCTCTTTTTGCATAGGATTGCTTTGGCTATTTGGACTCTTGCGGTTCCATACGAATTTTAGGATCGTTGTTTCAATTACTGTGAAGAATGTTGTTGGTATTTTAATGGGGACTGCATAAAATCTGTAGATATCTTTGCATAGTATGGTTTTTGTAATAATATTAATTCTTGCAATCCATGAACATGAGATGTCTTTTCACTTTTTTGTGTCCTCTTCAATCTCCTTCATCAGTGTCTGTAGTTTTCATTGTTGAGACCTTTCACTGTCTTGCCTAATTTCTAGATATTATTTTTTGGTAGCTACTAAAAATGAAATTACCTTTTGATTCTTTAAAGATAGTTTGTTATCGGTATATAGAAATGCTACTGATTTTTGTATTAATTTGTATCATAGGTTGGGCGCAGTGGCTCATGCCTGTAATCCCAACACTTTGGGAGGCCGAGGTGGGCAGATCACGAGGTCAGGAGTTCAAGACCATCCTAGCTAACACGGTGAAACCCCATCTCTACTAAAAATACAAAAAATTAGCCAGGTGTGGTGGTGGGCACCTGTAGTCCCAGCTAATTGCGAGGCTGAGACAGGAGAATGGCATGAACCTGGGAGGTGGAGCTTGCAGTGAGCCGAGATTGTGCCACTACACTCTGGCCTGGGTGACAAAGCGAGATTCTGTCTCAAAAAAAAAAAAAAAAAAAAAAATTGTATCCTGCAACTTTACTGAATTGATAAGTTCTAAGAAACTTTTGGTGGAGTCTTTAGGTTTTTCTACGTATAAGGCCACATAATCTGCAAACAGGGACAATTTGACTTCCTCTTTTCCAATTTGAATGTGCTTTATTTCTTTCACTTGCCTGACTCTGGCTAGGACTTCAAGTACTATGTTGAATAAGAGTAGTGCAAGTGGGCTTGTTTTTTAAAACTGTTCCAGTTTTTTGTTTTGTTTTTTTTTTTTTTTTGAGACGGACGGAGTCTGGCTCTGTGGCCCAGGCTGGAGTGCAGTGGCCGGACCTCAGCTCACTGCAAGCTCCGCCTCCCGGGTTTACGCCATTCTCCTGCCTCAGCCTCCCGAGTAGCTGGGACAACAGGCGCCGGCCACCTCGCCCGGCTAGTTTTTTTTGTATTTTTTAGTAGAGACGGGGTTTCACCGTATTAGCCAGGATAGTCTCGATCTCCTGACCTCGTGGTCCGCCCGTCTCGGCCTCCCAAAGTGCTGGGATTACAGGCTTGAGCCACCGTGCCCGGCCAAAACTGTTCCAGTTCTTAGAAGAGAAAAACTTTCAACTTTCTCCCATTCAGAATGATGTTTGCTGTGGGTTTGTCAAATATAGCCTTTATTGTGTTGAGGTATGTTTCTTCTATGTCTAATTTGTTGAGTCTTTTTATCATGAAGGGATGTGGGATTTTATCAAGTGAAGTTTCTGCATTTATTGAGATGATCATATGGTCTTTCATTCTATTGATGTAATGTATCACATTTATTGATTTGTATATGTTGAACCATCCTTGGATCCCTGATCTGAATCTCACTGGATTCAACTGAAGTGTTTGTTCATCATAGTCTTTAATGATTCTTTGTATTTCTGTAGTATGAGTTGTAATATCTCCTTTGATATTTTTTAAATTTTATTTATCTGGAACATCTCTTTTTCCTAGGCCATCTAGCTAATGGTTTGTTGATTCTGTTTATCTTTTCAAAAAATCAACTTTTCATTTGTTTACCTTTTGTATTTTTTGTCTCTGTTTTGTTTAGTTCTGCATTAGGTTATTTATTTGAAATCTTTCTACTTTTCTGCTACAGGCATTTATTGCTATAAACCTAGTGCTGCTTTTACTGTATCTTATTGGTTTTCGTATGTTGTGTTCTTATTTTTATTTGTTTCAAACATTT